TGTCTGGATCACATCCCTCAGGTCTTGCCTACCTCCCTTTGACCCACGATACTTCCTACCCCTACCCGCAGGCGGAGGAGGAGCGCGAGTCGCGACACTAGCCTTCTGTGCTCATCTCTGCTCCTCAAATCGAGACGGGCCAGGACCCCTGGGTTGTTCTGGCTCAGACCTGGACCTTCGTGGAATGAAGGTTTTGAAGGCCGCTGAGCGCGCCTTCACCTCCCTAAACTTTTCGACCATGTACCAAAAAGTTCAGAGGGCGAAACCGGGGCGTCCGCCAGGTTTACCCACAGATGCTTCTCTGTCACTACCATCGCCGCCATAGATCTACCCATGGCAGAGGCAACCTGCTTAGTAGCACGTAGAGCAAGATCAGTGGTACGGCGCAACTCAGCCATCTCATCAGAAGAAAGGCCCTCGTCTTTCAGCAGGTCAGCCTGGTATGCCTGGAGCACAGCCATAGTGTGCAGCGAAGCAACAGCCTGACCTGCTGCTGCGTATGCCCTGCCATTCAATTTAGATGTAGCTTGAAGGGGCACGGATGGCAAGGAGGGAGTTTTGAGAGACGATGTCTCACCCAGGGGGCATTCTCTCATAGCCGTTTTCGCGCATCGCCTCGATGTTTGCATAACTGGTATGCTGAAACCGATGGATGCGTGTGGAAAACGGCCTCTTCCATTCCTTCTCGATCTCAGTATGGAGATCAGGAAGGAAAGGAAGGCTCACCTGAGCTGGAGGGTTATGGCCAGAAAGATAACGTTCCTCGAGACGACCTCGCAATGTCACTTCCTTAGTCCGCTTCCACAGCAAGTCAAGCCTCGCCATGGCGCGATCCATAGCCTCTAAGAGCTCATCATACGCAGGGCAGGAGGATTGAGAAGGCTCAGCCTCAGCTTCTTCGCTCTCTTCATCCATTTCCTGCTCTTCCTGGGCTGAACCCAGCAGAGCACTGGCCCCTGGATCAGATGATGTTAAAGAGAGAACATCATTCTCCAGCGGCTGTCTCTCGCCCACCACCGATAAGCGCGAGAGGGAAAGCCCCTCTTTAAAATCATCGGCCAGGTCCACCTGAGATCCCCACGAGCTCATTCTCCTCCGTGCCTCAGCAGCGGCGGGTCCTGAACCGCGGGAAGCAGATGGCTGCCCCTCTTTACTCGAAAAGAGAGACAAACGAGAACGGAGCTTTTTCATTGGAAAACACTCGCAATGCATGCAGATTGCCCCCTCGAGGACATCGCGCGTGTGCTCTTCGCCCAAACAAACAACACATAGATCGTGTGTGTCATCTGGTGTCAAATAGCGATGACACAGATGCACACACCTTCTAAATGCTCTGCTAGTGCTCGCCATAATGAATAGAGATAGCTCTTACTTTTTCCTTGGAAATGCACGCTTCAAACAGAACAGTCAATGAAGACGAAGAAGAGAATGATGTGTGCTCCCGGCGCCTATTTATACTATAGTCGCACCGGTAGTGACGTCATGGCTGTCGCCGGCCAACGAGTTGGTGTTTTTTCAATGTATGCTTCAGACACGTGTCACGTGTCAGAGGCGCTCCCCATAGCGACCCCTAGAGGACGCAGTTCGAAGTTCCCATGAAAGGGAACGGTCTTTCACTAAATTATTATTAATTATACATAAACTCTATATATTTTGTCTATTTATATATTTATTTACATTACATAAATTGTTTTGCACAAAGTTTATCTTTGATATATTTTCTTAGTATCAACAAATAAGCAAATGCTTTGACTACACAAATGTACAATCACTTGTACATTTGCCAGTAAATCAAAACTGAAATAGAGAAAATGTTACCTGCAGGGCCAGTCGGACTACAGACGAAAGGTTTTTGAGCAGGCAGTGGATGATGTCCAGCAAACACAGGAGCAGAGAAGAGCAGCTCTTCAGCCCTGAGTGCATTTCTCTCTCCAGATACACACCAGTGACTTCCACAAAGACATTGCACACCACCTCAATTACACCTGAGAAGAGAGGTAAACGCAAGCAGAATCATTCTTCTATACATCCATCTGTTCTGACTGTCCTTCTAATTGACACAAACACAATACATCTAACTTAAGATATAATTAAGTAAATAACAGCCAGGTCTGTCACACATTACATTACACTTAATATACAAACTGTATGAAATGGTCATAATTACATATAGTAATGAAGCATAAAATATTAAGATTCTCAGTTTATGGTGAAAAACACTTTAAAGTAGACATTGAATGCCATTCAAAATTTTACTTAAGTAATCAGATTTTTACTTGAATTACAATATGTACATGTTTATATAGTGTGGGGTCAGTAAGTGTTTTTTATTTTTACACAAATACATTTATTAAGCAAGGACACACTCAACTGATCAGAAGTGAGAGTAAAGACTTTATAATGGCACACAAGATTTATATTTCAAACAAATGCTGTTTCTTTGAGCTTGAATACAGAAAAAAAAGTCATGACGTGATAATAACAAAAAAAAAAAAGTTCTTGAGCACCAAATCAGCATATTAGAATTATTTCTGAAGGATCATGTGACACTGAAGTAGTGTATATATAATAAAACCATTTTTCATTTTTCAATAATTCTGTAATATGTTGCACAACTAAAGTTTCACTCAATATCCATATAGCTGCGAAGGTTGGTTTGTAAATCCACAAAATACATATGCATCATATTCCATACTACATATTCTATTCGATTCCTTTGTAAATATGCAAATGACTAAATTTGGACATTGATCAGTTTATTCCTGATTTTATTTTTGTTCCACATATTTGTACCTGGCTGAAAAAAATAAAATAAAAAAAATAACCCAAGTCTGCCGAGTCAGTTGTCAGTTTTGAGTTATAAACTCAAACACAGACCACAAATACCTGGCATGAAGCTATCAGTTTATTTTGGGCATTAAAATAAAGTTTTCAAATCCTCACAAATGAGAATACATTCTGCTTCAAATCCAAAGCCACATGATTCAGGTCCAAATTACCTTTCAAATGAAAATGCAATCTAACCTAAACTCCAGTGTAATATACTTGCAAAGAGGCAGAAGTAGGGAGATATACTGAAGTCTTCTCATTTAAACCTTTAACGGTTACTTAAATTCAAGGATGCCAAAAAAGGAAATGGAAAATAACTTTTTACTTAACGCCACTGTACTATATTGGCCAATATTTATTTTAATTAATTCAGGGGAGCAGCATGAATAGTAGACCTTGGGTTTCTACATTAAATTCACTGTACAATATAAATACATAGTGCAAAGCACAAAAGAGTACTTGCTCCTTTATAGTATTATGAACATTCTTTTACAATATAAGTCTGAGATACAAAACATAAAGTCATTTTTTCCTTTGAGTATTTCCCATTGTAAACAGGAAACCAGGGTGGAAAAGCTTGAGCCTTTTTAAAACGCAACTAATATAGTTTACATCACATAGTGAAGCCGCACTTCACAGCCACAGATATAATAAAAATGAAGTTTAATTGATTTGCCCTATTAGATTTAATATGAAACTGTAACATTTCTGTCAAAATACCAGTTACTTTTACAACCATTTGCATTTTAATAATGATAATGTGTAGTTTGAACATCTTTTAAATTTATGTTGGTGCATGTGGTATTTATAATTTAGGGAGGAGGTAACATTCTTGCTCTAGAAAACATTTGATTGGACAAAATTTCTCTACTTCATTGAGAGTTTTTTAGTTGGTATTTCTGGACAAGAGCATCTGTACATTGTAAATGCATATATTTCAAAGAGATCAGCTCAAATTTTTGTATTTGCCGTTGAGTTTAATCAAACAACTCCAAATAGTTAAATACATAAAGATTTCATATTTATTTTCAAACATTTGTTTACACTTAAACATTTTACATGGACTAAAACATGATAAGATTTCAGAAAATATTCTGGGACTGGATTCATGAAACATTCTTATAAATAAAACTCTTCCTAATTTTAATGTTCTTATCTTTTCAAATATGCAAATGACTAAAGTTTGACATTGATCAGTTTATTCCTGATTTTATTTTTGTTCCACATATTTGTACCTGGCTGAAAAAAAAAATAAAAAAAATAACCCAAGTCTGCCGAGTCAGTTGTCAGTTTTGAGTTATAAACTCAAACACAGACCACAAATACCTGGCATGAAGCTATCAGTTTATTTTGGGCATTAAAATAAAGTTTTCAAATCCTCACAAATGAGAATACATTCTGCTTCAAATCCAAAGCCACATGATTCAGGTCCAAATTACCTTTCAAATGAAAATGCAATCTAACCTAAACTCCAGTGTAATATACTTGCAAAGAGGCAGAAGTAGGGAGATATACTGAAGTCTTCTCATTTAAACCTTTAACGGTTACTTAAATTCAAGGATGCCAAAAAAGGAAATGGAAAATAACTTTTTACTTAACGCCACTGTACTATATTGGCCAATATTTATTTTAATTAATTCAGGGGAGCAGCATGAATAGTAGACCTTGGGTTTCTACATTAAATTCACTGTACAATATAAATACATAGTGCAAAGCACAAAAGAGTACTTGCTCCTTTATAGTATTATGAACATTCTTTTACAATATAAGTCTGAGATACAAAACATAAAGTCATTTTTTCCTTTGAGTATTTCCCATTGTAAACAGGAAACCAGGGTGGAAAAGCTTGAGCCTTTTTAAAACGCAACTAATATAGTTTACATCACATAGTGAAGCCGCACTTCACAGCCACAGATATAATAAAAATGAAGTTTAATTGATTTGCCCTATTAGATTTAATATGAAACTGTAACATTTCTGTCAAAATACCAGTTACTTTTACAACCATTTGCATTTTAATAATGATAATGTGTAGTTTGAACATCTTTTAAATTTATGTTGGTGCATGTGGTATTTATAATTTAGGGAGGAGGTAACATTCTTGCTCTAGAAAACATTTGATTGGACAAAATTTCTCTACTTCATTGAGAGTTTTTTAGTTGGTATTTCTGGACAAGAGCATCTGTACATTGTAAATGCATATATTTCAAAGAGATCAGCTCAAATTTTTGTATTTGCCGTTGAGTTTAATCAAACAACTCCAAATAGTTAAATACATAAAGATTTCATATTTATTTTCAAACATTTGTTTACACTTAAACATTTTACATGGACTAAAACATGATAAGATTTCAGAAAATATTCTGGGACTGGATTCATGAAACATTCTTATAAATAAAACTCTTCCTAATTTTAATGTTCTTATCTTTTCTCTTAAGATAAGAAAAAATTAAATTCTTGAAAAGCATCTTCTATAAAATCATTGTAAATAACTTCTTAAAGTTAGGATAGCTTCCTAACTTCCTAAATCCCCAAAGCTAAGACGATTTAATGGATTTATTGGGTTATTTCAATATAATTGTTATGATTAAGCATTACAACAAAACACTAGCTACACATAATACATAGTAGGACTATTACTATGGACTTGTGCAAGTTTTCTTAAGTGACAACTGATTGATAATGTAAGCAATGATAAGTCATGATTATGTGTGGCGTGACTTCGCTGGATTCGAAAGTCAATAACAACTCTGCAAAAATGAGTCAGATAGGGAGCTTGTATTTAATTTTAGCCTTTAAATACAACATCCTCCTTGGTAGCATTCGGCATGAAGCTGCAAGCTGTAGCAGCGTGCAAAAATAGTGTGTGCACTTATCATGATTATTAGTGATGCATCGGTACGATACTGGTATCGGTATCAGGCCCGATATTGCTGATTATCCTGATCACCCTGTCGGGGGTTATATATATATGTAAGGGATAATCAATGGCTAGCCGTGCGTTAAATGCATGACGTGGAGGTAAAGAACCACCCGAACGCGAAGCTAGCCGTTGATTATCCCACTTATTCCATGGTCATTTGCCAAGTTATAGACAAGTTCAAACTAGTATTGCTCTTTGCAGCACAATATTTGACCGAATGGGTAAAAATTTGTTATTTTCGTCAGTTACGGCACATTAGCGCTAGCATTCTGCCCGCTTCAAATCATACACAAGAGATGAAATAGTGCGGTAAGACCACATTTATTTGAATGAATTATAGCATGTATTTCAATTAATTATTGATCGATCGTTTGATAGAGAGAGAGAGAGAGAGAGAGAGAGGACAGTTGTGTGTAGCTGCATCTGTGCGTCTCTCTGTACAAACAATTACTTCAAAAACAGCGATTTTACCACCTCGTTGCTGAGGAATATAATGTAGCAATCTAGTATCTAGACTATTTTATTAATGAAAATCATGGGGAAGCGTTGCCAATAAGTTTGTGTGTGTGTGCAGCGCAATCAGCGATCTCTGACCTCTCTCTCTTTCTCTGTGTGTGTGTGTGTGTGTGTGTGTGTGCATGCGCGCGAGTGATGCGTGTTGGTTTGTGTGCATCAATTAAAGCAGCACATTAATATAGTACTGTGATTAAACTGACTTGGAACTACCTGTGCATTAAACGGTTTTACTGCATACCTGCCAGCCAATCAGAATCCAGTATTCAGACAGACCATGGAATAAATATATATATACATATATATATATACACATATTGGTTGGTTTCTGTACCCAATATTTTTAAAAAGTACAAATGCAATGAAAATTACAGGTATAGGTATTGACAAGTACCAAAAATAAAAGTATTGGTATCGGACTCGTTCTGTAAAAAGTGGCATTGGTGCATCCCTAATGATTATTATGGTATTCTGCAGTACAATAAATAAATAAATAAATAATAATAAAATAAAAAAACACGATTCCTTTAAGTGTTCTTCGCTGAGTTTATCAGTGTGTTTTCAGCAAGAACCACCATGTATTCAATCAGATAAAAACTGTCATTTTCTTCTTAAGGAAAAAAAAAAAAAGATTAGAGAGCTTCTTAAGAATTTTTGCAATAATTGCACTTAGGAAATTTTAGGATTCGGCCCCTAATTCTTTATTATTGTTCTTTATAG